CGGCGCGGGGCTGCTCCGCCGGCAGCGGGTGCGAGCGCAGCGCTTGCCCTGCTCTCCTCCCCCCCTGCCCCGCACCTCCCTCTCGGCTTTGCGGGGGCCGGGCGGGTGTCAAACGCCGTCCGTGGGGCAGAGCAGGTCCCCGCCGGGGGTGATGTGTGTGCCCGGTTCCCCCACCCGCTGTACAGCCGGGGCATCCCCTCGGGCGTCCCTGCTGGCTTCCACCTCTCCGCTTTCACCCTCAGGGATGCGCTGCCCTCCGCAGGCACCGTGAGGTCTGCGGGAGGCCGGGATCACCTGCTGCGGAACGGGGAATACGTGCTCCTTCTCACAACAGTTAAGGCTTCGGGCAGCTCCGTGTGTGCGCCTTAAAAACTAACGAAGTGTTTCTGGCGTGTGTGTTCCAGAGTCACGAAGAAGACGACAGGAAGGTAAGGAGGAGAGAAAAAAACCGAGTTGCCGCACAGAGGAGTCGGAAGAAGCAAACTCAGAAGGCAGACAGGCTCCACGAGGTGAATGGGTGCTTGACGTTGTGCCGGCAGGGCTTGGGTACCGACTGGGGGTCTTTGCAATAAACGGGGCTTCTTAAACCAGCACGGGCCTGCTTTCACCCTAACCCAGCTCAGAGAGGTGTGGGTGTGAGGCAGAGGCAGGTGCCTGCTCGGAGCTCCCGGGTCCTGATGCTCAGGCTGGACAGTGCAGACCTGCCATCAGTGACACTGCCAGGGAGAGAGAGAGAGATGTGGCCCTGGCCTCACCCTCCCTCTTTTGCTGTTCCCGTGACCACCTAGTGAACCAGACCACAGGGCTAAATCAAACCCGTTTTCTTTGGAATTAGCGTTGAGCTTGGCATGTTCACTCTGGCAGTGGGTGAAGGCTTGCTGCCTGATGAGGGAGGAGGGTACCGTGCTGCCTAGTGGCAGTGCTGGCTGAAATCAGCTCTAAAACTGTGGTGTGAGACAGAAGCACCCAGTTGAAAAGGCTGCTTCAAAACCTCCAAGCACGAGAGCTGTGTGCAGTTAGCTGTTACATGTGTGTTCTGATAAATAACAGTGGGTGTTTCCAAGAAAAACATGAAAGTAACTGATTTTTTTCAGAAATACTTCTCCTCAACATCACAATGTGGTGTAGTTTTCTCTGGTCCTCATCCCTCTTTTGCTGTTCCCGTGACCACCTAGTGAACCAGACCACAGGGCTAAATCAAACCCATTTTCTTTGGAATTAGCGTTGAGCTTGGCATGTTCACTCTGGCAGTGGGTGAAGGCTTGCTGCCTGATGAGGGAGGAGGGTACCGTGCTGCCTAGTGGCAGTGCTGGCTGAAATCAGCTCTAAAACTGTGGTGTGAGACAGAAGCACCCAGTTGAAAAGGCTGCTTCAAAACCTCCAAGCACGAGAGCTGTGTGCAGTTAGCTGTTACATGTGTGTTCTGATAAATAACAGTGGGTGTTTCCAAGAAAAACATGAAAGTAACTGATTTTTTTCAGAAATACTTCTCCTCAACATCACAATGTGGTGTAGTTTTCTCTGGTCCTCAGCGCAAATGCTGGAGGACAGGATTCCCCTTTTTCTGCTTTTGCTGTAGCCAGGACTCTTGGGGTAAATATTAGTTCTGCTGCCGTGATTGTGGCTGAGTCAGTTATCCAGCCCTGGAGGTTCAGCCCAGGCTCTTCACCTTCTTGGGGTGGAAGGATCTGCCAACAGTCTGTAGAGGCCAAGAGGCACAGTGTGGGGAGTTTTGGGCTCGGTTTTTCCCAGAACTCTTCTGAGTCAGTGCCTGAGAAAGCCAGGTGCAGGGTACTTCTGGAAAGGGGTGCCCCCTGGCTTTTGTGGAGTAATTTCTAGGCCCTGTTCCTTCTGAACTCGAGGATCTTCCTCATGCTGGGGTTCTTCATTCTCAGGCATTTCAGTTTTCCCCTGTGCAGGCAGTTCTGGTTGAAAAGGAATTCACCCTTGGCAAGAACAATTTGGTAGTCTGATCCTGAGAATTAGAGCAATGGGAGAGTAACACTCCAGAACTCAAATCCCGGGGGGGTTGGGGCAACAAGAGGTGAGCAGAGTCAGGGGATGGACATTTTGTTGGAGCTGGCTACCATAATGTGTTAGGAGGATCATGCCTGTTTTACTGTGTGTGTGAGGGAGGTGGTGGAAGGGTGTGAGGGAGGGCAAGGGGATACAAACTCCTGCAGCAAAGGGCAGCAGAGGCAGTCCCAGACTGCTGAGAGGAGCACTGCATGAGAGGCTCTCCCTACTGCCTGGTAAACAGACCATATGTAGGTTTTGAAGTTTGCTTTGAAGCTTTTCCAGGGAGGTGACACTGAGTGGGTGAGTGCTGAGCCCTAGGCCAGAAGCAAGGTGCAGACACCTGCAGGTTTTCCATGGGCTGGCTCTGAACCTCTAGCTCTCTTCTCTTAGAGATGACAAGGCTTGAAAGCAGGGACACTTCAGACATGCAGTTAAGATGCAGTAACCAAAAAATGTGACACACAGTTCTCACATCTATCACAGATGTATGTGCAGAGCACCTCAAAACTCCCCTGCAGTTAATAGCAGCTTATTCATTGCAAGAGAAGCCTTAGCTCAAAAGCAGCCCAGGTCTGGGATAGCAAAGACAGTGGTCAGGCCTTGCCTTGTGGGGACCAAGTGGGGCTAGAAACAAGTTGGCATGACACTCCCCTCCTCCTGCACTTGTGTTCCTGGCCACATGAGCAGGCTGCTACAAGCCCCAGCCACCTGGAGGAGAGTGGCTGACCCCGGGCACGGTGTGCTAGGTCTGCATCTTGGCCTGGCCTGTGGCAGAGGCTGCCCTTTCCTCACTGGCAATGCCAGGAACTGGGTTTCCCCAGAACCTACCTGTGCTTGGTGCTTTTGTTTGCTCTGCTCTGAGCTGTCCTGCTTGACTCCCCTCAGCAGAGGCAGCCCAGGGCTGAAAAAGGCCACCAAAGGGATGCAGCCACCCACACCTGCAGCCCTGGGCTGCTGGGAACCCTCAAGGACCAACAGCACCTCCTGGTCTTCAGGGCCATGAAAGGAACTGCAATGTGGTCAGAACAGAGATTGTAAAGGACTTGCCCTGTTCCAGCACCAAGGCTGTGTCTGTCCTTCCTCAGCATTTTGCACACTGTAGTAAGAAACCACAGTTTTTCTAGGGTTATGTGAATATACTCAAGGTGGAAGCACTGAAAGGAATGTTTTGACTATGAGTAGACTTTTTTTTTTAAAACTCCTTCCAGGAATATGAGTCTCTTGAGCAAGAAAATACCTCCCTGAAAAGAGAAATTGGAAAGCTAACAGACGAAATGAAACACTTGAGTGAAGTGCTGAAGGATCACGAAAAGATCTGCCCGCTATTGCACTGCACCATGAACTTTGTGACCGTACCAAGGCCTGATGCACTTGCCAGCTGCCTGCCAAGATGAAACCTCTCCTTGATCATCTTTAAATGTAATGTGTGAAGGTGCCATTAACGGGAGACTTGAAGAACTGCCTGCGTATGGTGCAAGTCTTTCATCAAAGAGGGCTGGACTTGACCACGCAGCTCTTCTCTATGTCGATGTGTTACAGTCTTCTGTATCTCAGGAAAACACCAGCATGGAAAAAAGACAGCTTGTACTGCAGCACTGGATTGGGTAGAATCTTTGAGCAGTGGTTTGAGCCATGGACATTCAGAAATGTCACAGTGTGGTGCAGCCCACCATCACATGATGGAATGTAGACGGGGAAAAGTACTGACCTTGGGCTGGGATGCCTTTCTCCCCCATGTCCACTGCCAGTAACCCTCTGTCACTTGTCATCCATGTATATCATGTTCTGGCTGCAGTTGTTGGGTTTTTTTTCTCTAAATAAGTTTGGTTAATAAAAGTGATGTCCCATCTTTATGACATTTTCCACCTTCTTCAATAATCACTGTCTTTATAACATCTCTACTGGTTTTTTACTGGTCAAATCCAAAGTCTAATACTAATCTTCCTGTCAATTGTTTTATTATTTTCTTATCACCTCTTCATTGCTTCCTCTTTTGAAGTGTGTGTAAGAAATGAATTCTCCCAGTCTTCATTTCTTTAATGTCCCCAGTCATCAGCCCTGCCAACATTAGTTCTTGGGATGTTTTGTCCTAAAACATAGCAATTTCAAATTATGATTGTCTGCTCTGTGTGGAAGAAAAACAATTTTCTGGTTCTATATGTTTTAAAGAGCAAATTTGAAAATTACTGGTTTATTGCACCCATTGGAAATTAACAAATATCTTTACCCTTTATCTTATATATTGCTTTAGGTAAATGGTGTCTGTGGATAGAACCGAGTGAGTTTAGCTTAACATCTTGTCCAGTGTCCACACAGAAGATGTTTGATAACTGTTTGCAAGAAAAACATTACATTTCCTTTGACCTTTTTTTTTTCCTTATTACAAAAAAGGAAGAATGACAACATGACTGAGAAATACACAGAAAAATGTGTTCACTTTCTTTGAAGATTCTTAGTAGTGTCAAGCTGTAGAAATCTGAATGCTGCAGCCTGGGATCCAGTAGTGCTTTTCTCACAATATTTCTCAGTTAAAGAGCACCTTTGGACTAAAAAACAAAAACAAAAAAGCTCTACCCACTTTCCAACTCTCTCGCTTCAGCATTTGGATTTTTTTCAGTTCAACTCGTGGGATTAATTTCTCCCCCCACCGGCATCACAGTATTTATCAGCAGAATATGATCTGAAATATCTAAAAAGTTTTTTTCTTTTTTAGCTTAAGTAGAATGACACATTGCTGATCACCACCAAGAAAGAACTGGGGAAACCCTGTAATCAGCTCTGCCTTCTAAAGGGCCCTCTTATGCCATTGTCTTAGGCTAGAAACTCAAGATAGCAGGTATGAGCTGTTGGCTTCTGTAAAAGTTTTCATCATCAAGACAATTTCCAGCATTTGCAGAAGCTATGGCCTAATTGCAGTCTTCAAAGTTTCTTATGGTCCTACAAGAACTGAGTCATCCTGCAAAGAAAAATCTGGTACAGTCCCTGCCAAGGAAAAAGGAGGTTTCTGGACACTTCAAAATACACACTTTGGATAATGTCCTTGATATGATGCTGTGTGTGACCCTTAAGAGAGGAAGCTATCTTAAGCATCTCCATCCACTCAGATTCCTTCAGTCTCTGGATGCCACTGTGTAATTTGTGCAGAGTAGAGGTGTAATGGAGGAGAAGGAGCATAGTGGAAATGGACAACATTTACTCTGGGAACATTCATGACAGCTTAGGATGGAGGGAGAGAGAGAGGATGTCTCATATCTCTTAACTAGGTGTGCGCAGCTGAGCTGAGGCTGGGAATGGAAAGTAGCTAGTTGAGCAGTGAGAACTGGTGCAAAAGCATGGTTTCTCTTGTGGAGCCCTGCAGACCCCTAAAAAGGGGAGGGAAGGTCAACCACCTTGTCCAAGACCATCTCAGCAGAACCTTCCTAGGGATTTTGTCCCACAGGTGCTTTGTTCTAAAAGAAGATATCTACTTCCCTGTGTAAAATCCTCTTACTTACACATTTATTCTTCTGAACATACGTCTAGAAAGTGGCTGCAGCTTATCATTTGGTAGTCCAAGTTCTACTGTACATGGTTCATCAGTAAGAACTATGGTTGCTCTGCGACGTAGGCTTTAGTCCACAGTTTCTGACTTGGAGTTCATTGATTTATTAACTGTACAATGTCTATGCAGAGTGTACAGGGGAAGACGCAGCAACGCTGTGTGCTGGCAACAGCAACCTTATCCCAGGGTTGTGCTGCTGTTCCTTGGAATGGCCAGCAGATCTTCAGGAGCCCTCAGTGCCACCAGTTCCTTCCCACAACCACAGGGAAGGAACTGGCTCCAGCCAGTGCATTGTGTCCATTAGTAGCAGTGGGCTTTGAGCCCCCTGGGGCCTGGGCTGCATCTGCCTCCTCCATCTACTGCATCACTGTTTCTCCCAGCACTATTTCCAGAGGGCCTTATGGATCATTCTTCTGTTTAATAGATTAACCAAGGCATCTCTCACAAATGGGACGTTGTGTGACCAAGGTTCAAAGGCAGCTGGGAACCCCAAGTAAAAGAAGTGAGCAAACTGAGTGTTCCAAGCCAAATAAACCCAAAATTCTGATATACTTATAGAATTATTGTCGTAGCTGGATCACGGGTTGAGAGGGATAATAACCTGTTAAAGCATAGGCTTTAACAAAAGAAGATGATATGCATGCAGCCTGATTGCACTTTTTGCAGGAGCCATTCACAAGGATATTGATTTACAGATAACTTTAAAAAAAAAAAAGAAATAAAGAAAGAAAAAAGTATGTTTGTAGCCTGGGATAATTCTTACATGAATAGGGAACCAGAAAGGAGAACAGAAAGGAAAAGGCCTATTTGTTAAGGAAGCAACAGAAAGCTCTTTTTCAAATCCTAACCTCTCCTTCTGCAGCAGGGTATTACACCATCACAAAAAAGGGTTTCATACTGCTTGATGTATTCTGGCTTCAGAAAACTGCCAGTTAGTTTGACTTGTCCTCTACAAATGTTGTCTGCATTACATTCCCATGATTTTTGGATGCAGGTACGTAGGGAAGATCTTGTCTATGTTCAGATGGTGCCTCACGTGAGGAGTACTGTGAATTGCAGTCTCATTTGTAGATGTGTGATGGCAGATGAGGGTTGTCAAGAAAGCTGGATTTTGCCTTTTAGGTTCACAATGAAGGTTACAGTTTGTCTACATTTGGTCAGCGTGGATTTCCTTTTTGTATTTTCTGTGACTCTAAGGAAGAAGGAAAATGCCCAGTGCAAACTTAACCCACAGGTAGAAGTACTCATTCCAGTAGCAAACTGAGTCCAATTGAGCTATTTGTCTGTTCATTAATTTCAGTTGCTGTTGGGTCAGATTTAAATTGATATTTTGAAGACATAATTTTAGCATAAATGTACCTTTGGAGGGCATAAATAAATAAATAAATGAAATCAACAGAAAGACAAAGTCAACCTTCCCAAAATTGCTAGTGTGAGTATAAGAGATCAACTATTATACCTCAAGAGCACTGATTAGAATGTCCTGCTTCTTCCCACTGATACTTTACATGTATGTCTGTGAACATTTTTAAGTGTCTTCAGGTAATCATCCAAAATCTTGCTAAAAATATGCCTTTAAAAAGGATATTTAAACCCACCAATGCTACAGACTTTCTCTTCTTTTCCCTGCTATCTTTTACTGTCGTCTGCTGCTCCTTCTGTAATACCTGCTGATCTCATCTGCATTTGCTATTTGCAGTATTTTCTTTGTATTCTCTCACCATTTAATTTCAAATGCCTTTTTTTTACTTTTTCTTTCCATTTCTTGTCTCCTTCTGTTCCTATGTAGCCTGGTGACAACATTGCTTCATGTTATTGGTATTAGAAGAGAAAGACTAATCTGTAGGAGCATAGAGAAACTGAACTTTCCTGGTACAACCTGTGTATGATTAAAGGCTTTTGTGTGCAGCTGCCTTTGTCAGCTGTGTATTAAGGAAGGTGCCTTTGCAGCCTTTTAGAACGTACTTTAAAGTGACATAACCTTTACTCTAGCCTGTGAAGCCCGTACTGTTTCCTGTCCGTAGATGAATGCTTTGCTGCGTGGCATTTGGGGTTTCCATCTGTGAATCAGTCTAGAATTTCTGCCTCAGTGAAAGTGATAGATAAAACAACAATTAAAAAAGAATAAAAAATCCCTTTTCTCTTCTTCCCATCAGTGCGGTGTCACAGGAAGGAAGCGTGTCTGATAAGCAGGAGAAGTGGTGGGTTTATTTACTGTTACAAAGACTACTGGTATTCTCTTTACAGAAGGGTGGGAGTTTTCACTTTGTAAACCCTGGGTTATTTGTCAGTCGGTCGCTGGAGAAACACTGTACGTGTACGTGCAGCCTGTGGTGTGGTCAGACATCTGTAAGGGAGTGAAAGAATTTGGATTAGTTCTTTGCAGAAACATGGGGTTTACATTGATTTCACTGGAAGTAGAAACAATCCTACTCAGAGGCCACAGAGGGCATGTGGCACTACACTTAGTAACTTGGGTAATATTTAACTCAGTGGCTACAGGCTAACTTGAAGTGGGTAATTCTTAGTAAGGAAACCATAGTTACAATCATCCCTGGGATTGCATGCTCCTTTTCTGGTACTCAGTCAGGTTTTTGTTTTGATAGTTGCTAGGGAAAAAAATCCTTAAGAATAGAGTAAAACTTTTCTCTCCCACTGTAGAATTTTTAAATCATTACATGAAATGTAAGGGCTTGACTATTCTGGAAACAGCTAGCATAGCTTTTGCAAATAGTCTGTTCTTTACTAGATATGTGTTTGGTCTGCTTTAAAGGAATCATCATATTTCTCTTTAGAAGTGGATAAGCTAAACCACAAAGCTGTCTTGGTAGAGGACAAAACCACTCATTTGGG